GGCTTTTTCTCTTCTTCATTCTCACCCCTACCTATCCAGCAGATGAACACCCTCCCTACCGACCTCCCCCATTAGCTCCGTCCACCCCCTCAGGTGCTCCCCCTGTCTTGGCTCACAGCTTTAGTTCCCCCAAACTAGATCCCGCCCCTAGTCCCACAAATCATGGCCCCTTTAAGAGAGGTTGCTGGACCTGAGTGCATTATCCAGGTACATGTCCCGTACTCAATGAATGACCCCATGCAACTCGAGCAAAGGTTGGGCTCATTCACAACAAAAGAGAGTTTCAAAAGCGCCCTCCAGGCTTATAGCCTCACTTATATGTTATTGGCTAATACTCTTCTTCTTGAGGTATGTACCAGAGTCTGGGAACTTGCCAGAGCCCATGTGGATGAAACTCACCGACTTAATCCCAATCACCCTCCGGGGCCACTTGCTGCCCCAGATCAAACTCCCAAAACCCCAGATGGCCTTCATGTCCTTATGACATATTTCCTCTTGCAGAACTACCCTGACATCTGGGCCAAACTAAAAAAGCTCAAACAAGGCCCTGCCACCCCCCAGACTGAGAAATTTCAGATGCTCGCCCAGTCCTGCAGGGTGCTTCCTTGGGTTGCCGCCCATCACTGAAAACCTCCCTGGGCACCTACTTCAAGTGTGGCAAGGAGGGACATTGGGCCAGGGCATGTCCTGCACCACACACTCTGCATACCCCATGCCCTAATTGTCAACAACAAGGTCATTGGGGCTCTGACTGTCCTAGATCTTGTAGGAGGCCTATGGCAAGGGAACCCTCTGACCTTCTGGGCATGGCAATCAATTGACGGTGCCTTGGGTCCTTGTCCCTGGCTGTAACGATCAATACACAGAAACCCAGGGTGCGGATTCAGGTGGATAGGTGCAAGGTTGACTTTCTCCTTGACAACAGAGCTACCTTCTCAGTCCTGACAGAATTCTTGGGGCAAACAGTGCCGTCCACCTCTCCTATTGTTGGGGTAGGAGGAAAGACCATCTATCCAAGAAAGACTCCCCTATTACTCTGTTTCGTAGACAACTTCCCAACCTCTCAGGCATTCCTAGTTATGCCCCAATGCCAAGTTCCTTTGCTCGGGTGAGATATTCTCTTCAAATTCAATACAACAATAAATATACAGGTCATACAGGTTCCTGGCATCACTCAGGCCCCATAATCGGCCTGTTCATTTTTTCTGGCTCTTTTGGCAGAAAACTGGCCATTCTGCTCCACTTGTGAGGCTGACATGGTTGACCCATTGTATGGAATACCCACACCCCCTCCACCATTTCCTGATTATTCAGGACCTTCTTAGCAAGGGGTACCTCCGTCCTGCTCATTCTCCTTACTCCCATACTACAATAAAAAAACCCAATGGGTCCTACCTATGACTCATCAACACTTCCGTTAGGCCCATAAAGTTCTTCTGGGCCTACAACATACATCCTTTGGTTCCCAACCCATACACTCTGCTGTCTCCGATCCTCCACACTGCCACCCACTTCTCAGTCATAGATTTAAAGGATATCTTTTTGCCTTTAACCTGGACTGTCCTTCCTCAGGGATTTCGAGATAGTCCACACCTCTTTGGACAAACCTTGGCCTCCCACCTCCAATCTTTTCATCCCCAGTGCCCCAAATCCACCCTCTTGCAATATGTTGATAATCATCCAGCAAATCTCTTTGCCCACCTGCAGAGAGGAAAGCACCCCACCACAGTCTTTAAGGCTATGGTGGCCCTCAGGGACTACTTCCTTGGGCAGATTTGAAAGTCCTAGTCCTCTCACCTTTAGACTTGGCCACTAGAGAGACACTTACCCTCCCCTTCCTCTCCCCTCTTTCTGGCCCTGGGAGTATCCAGCCTCTCCAGGAGGGGTCCCGAAAAGCCTTGGCCAAGGTCTCCCATGGCTCCAGCTCCATCCAAGATGAGAACTTCGACTGTCAGGATTCGGTGACGACCAATCTCTGCAGCTCGAACCTGCCACTAAGGCGCTCCTGATTTTTGGCTCTAGCAGGGATGCCCCTTTTGCCAATAAATCAGTTTCCTCCTTCTCTGTGTCCTCTTCCCTCCTCCTTACATGGGTAATGTGTCCTCTCTGCCGGTCGACTCTCCCCTACAATGCCTCTTGGATCAAATGTAGCACCCAGGCTTGGCCCACTTATCCCTTAGACAACCAAAGCAGATGGCTCCTTTTTGGGTCCCTGGATCTCTCCATTCTAAGGGATTTCTTCCAGGTTTTCTTCTTGCTCCGATCCAATCCTGCTCTCTCCACCTCTTGCAAACAAATTCTTTCGGCCTCCAAAGGGCACTCAATAGATAACAGAGTTCTCCTACTTAATTTCTTGGCCTTAAAGGGATATCGGGCCTCTCCACAAAAGGCCCAAATAGTATGTATCTAGGGTTCTCTATCTCTCAAAGGAAAAAGGCCATTATTGTGTCTATACCTACACCAAAGACCAAAGATGACTCTCCTCCTTGGGTTTGGCTGGGTACTTCAGGGCCTGGAATCTGGCCAAGGGCCCCCCAAGATGAACCCCTACTCTCAGCGGTAGGGAAGCCCTTTAAAAAGGCCCTCCTCTGGGCACCCACCCTGCATCTCTCCGACCTCTCCTGACCCTTCACCCTCTATATAAAAATAGGGACAAGTTCTAGCATTCAGAGTCAGGAATATGGCCCCACATTTGCACTAGTGGCCTACCTATCCAAACAGTTTGACTCCAGCATCAGGGGCTGGCCCCCATGCCTCAGAGCCCTAGCAGCAGCCCATGACCTCCAGAAAGAAGTACACAAGCTTACCTTTGGCTCCCCACTAACCATCTCATCTCCTCACCATTATTTTCTCACTTACAAGGGGGTGACAGTCACTTCCTCCTTCCAGGGTTCTATCCCTCCTTGTCTCTCCTTGAAAATCCCTCCATCTCTTTTCAGCCCTGCTCTCCATTAAACCCTGCCTCCCTCCTCCAATCTTCTCCCTCGCAAGATCCCATCCACAAATGCCTGGAGGAATTAGAGATTATTTTTCCCTGCCCTACCACCATTTCTGAGGGACCCCTGCCCTCTTCGGATCTCATCTGGTTCTCAGATGGTAGCTCCTTTATATATAAGGGGGTTAGAGTGGTGGGGTATGCTGTCATTTCCCTCTCATCCATCATAGAGGACAAACCTCTCCCACCCAATACCAACATCAACAAGCTGAACTCTTAGCTGCCACAGGGCATGTGAGCTAGCGGAGGGAAAAACCCTCTCCCTATATAATACGTCTTCCATAT